GGGTGGGTTAGGTGTTTTCGGGATTAGGGGAGGGGTTTCAAGTGAGTTTCGTGACCGGTATGCCGGGCGGAGTTCATGGCTGGGGGAATTGAGAGGATAGAGAAAATGAAAAGGGGTTACCTTTGGGTGTTTGGCCAGATTTCGTGCGGGTGGCCGGATATCGTGGCTGGTGGATGAATTTCGTGGTTGTTGGGCGGGTTTCTTGACTGGCCGGATTTCATGGCTGGTGGCTGACGTCCGTTGTTGGTGGTCGGATTCAAGGGTTTTCTGGTTTTTTTTTTATTTTGTTTTTTTTATTAAATGTTTTTTAAACCAATTAATTTGTGACAAAAATAAAAAAAAAAAATTAACCCATTTAACCGGTATTTGGGATTGAATAAATAGAAGACTCCCCAAAGTTCGGATTAATTCTAGCAAAATTCATGAAAAATGAATTATTTTTTCTAATTTAACATATTATTGTAATAGAACATTCTTGTTTGAGCAGCATAGTTATATAATGTAATAATTTAAATTATCATGTCATTGTATTATACAAGTAGAAAAAATTTCAGAATTAATAAAAATTAATAATTGATTATTAAAAAATAAAAATTATTTTTTCATTATTAAAAAATGTCAGAATTAATAATGTAATAATTTGAATTATCATGTCATTGTATTATACAAGTAGAAAAAATGTCAGAATTAATAAAAATTATTCATTGATTATTAAAAAATAATTTTTTTTTTTATTATTAAAAAATAAAAATTATTTTTAATAAATTATATTACATATTAAATCACACAATCAAACTCCCCAAAGTTCGGATTAATTCTAGCAAAATTCATGAAAAATGAATTATTTTTTCTAATTTAACATACTATTGTAATAGAACATTCTTGTTTGAGCAGGATAGTTATTTAATGTAATAATTTGAATTATCATGTCATTGTATTATACAAGTAGAAAAAATTTCAGAATTAATAAAAATTATTAATTGATTATTAAAAAATAAAAATTATTTTTTCATTATTAAAAAATGTCAGAATTAATAATGTAATAATTTGATTATGTGATTTAATATGTAATATAATTTATTAAAAATAATTTTTAACGATATATGATTCTAAGGTGTGGTGTAATGTCACTATTCCACAACCTCAACATCATTAATTTGACTGTGATGTTATATGACATTTTTTCAGAACACATGTATTGTGAATGTGAGTACGAGATTGTAAACTGAGGGAAATTAAGAGGAAAGAGCACATAAATCGACATTATCATAATCTCCAACAATTGCTCAATTAAGTTTCACGATCATGATGATTGTTATGTAATATAACTATGTTAATTTATTTTTAATAAATTATATTACATATTAAATCACACAAAAAATAAAAATTATTTTTAATAAAATATATTACATTTAAAATCACATAATAAAATACATACACTAAAAAGAATGTTGTAAAAGATGCATATGAAACTTTGCAATGTAAACATGTAAGTAATAATGTTTTATTTTAATATTTATTTGATCATGTAATGTTGTGCTTTTCTATATACTACGGGCCTATTCTCATTAACTTAACTCAACTGAAGTGAATTAAACTGAACTGAACTGAGCTAAATTGAACTGAACTGAACTGAACTTATTAATTAGTGATTTTTAACTACGGATTAGTGATTTTTGATTATTTATTGATTATTTATTATTATTATGCATATGTGTATATACAATATACATATTAAAATATTTAAGAAAAAATACTATTATTATTGTTATTATTTATTGATTATTATGATTATTATTATTATTGTTATTATTATTATTTATTGATTATTATTATTATTATTATTATTATTATTATTATTATTATTATTATCGTCGTTGAATAAGAGCTTAAAAGAATGAAATTTGGCTTTATATCATTAGCAATATCATTAGACATGAACTGAACTAAGCTGAACTGAACTGAACTGAACTGCACTGAGTTGAACTGAACTGATCTTAATTTCAACGTATGAGAACAGGCCCTACGTTTACACAATATTCAATCATTCAAAGTTTATGCAACAAACATGATAATTTAATTTATATAACACTTCATGAATAAAATTCATGGAAATATATTTATTCTATCACGGTTTGACATATAAAATTAAGAACAAATGTACAAACTTTATTTTACACCTTTTATTGTTGTGTAAAGTTTATAATAATTTTGTGGATTTCGTTCGAAATTTTTATGTATATTTTTTACATAAATCACGATTGATGTATATTTTTGCAAAAAAAAATTGTTATATATTATTATTTTATTATTATTTAGGGTTAAGGTAACAATAAATAAGTTTTTAGTAATAATCGTGCATGGCACGGATCCTAACCTAGTTTATTTATTAATCTTGGATTAAGAAAGTAAAAGGTGAATCAAATGTCAGTTTGCAAAATTTGAATGATGAAATGGAAGGAATGTGTTGTTTCTGAAGGATAAGTAACTTAATGAGTAAATTGATTCATCAAAGGGAATGGGAATCAACTGTCTCGATTCCCTTTGTTGCTGTTTGGTTAGCCTTTTTTTCATTCCCTGTACCCTCCTCATTCCCCTAAATCCTTCTAAATTGATTCCCCACCCCTTAGGCATTTCCATTCCATTTCCTAGCCACTAATAACCACCATACCACCACCCTCCTACCTACCCAAATCACTAGAAACCCGCACCACCGCACCACGGCCAGCCACGTCACCAACCGCCGCCTCTCCCCCACCCCTCGCCGCACCTCCCTTCCCCTCGCTAGCCAATCGCGCACTCCCGAAACCCTTTCCCCATCCCCGTGAAAACCTAAAAACTTCCATCTCTCTCACTGTAAAACGGCCGCCCGACCCTCCTCCGTCGTTGAAACCCTAGGCGCTAGGGTTTCAATGGTGGAGGAGGGTCGAGCGATGGGTTTTATGGGTGTAAGCTGTGGAGGGGAGAGCTGTGGCTGATTGGGTTTTTGGGGCAGATCGATGTTTTCGAGGGAGGGGAGAGCTGTGGGGGGCCGTCGAGGGGGCGGAGGAGGGCCAACAGAGGGCGGCGAACGCTTGGGAAGGTGCGGCCGTCGGTTTTACAGGGAGGGGAAGGGGTTTCTAGGGTATTTTCGCGGGTGGTTCAATGTTTTTAGGGGAGGGGAGTGCTTTCCGAGGAGAGAGAATCGGCGGCAGGCGAGTGAGGCTGGGGTGGTGGTTAGGTGGTGGGGTGGCTGGAAAAGGTTTCAAAGTGAAGAAAATAGGTGTATCTATGGTGGTGGTGTGGTAGTTTGACTGGTGGTTTGTTTCCTTGTGTTTTTTGTAAAACAAACAACATTGCATTTGGAATGGTTTTTCATTCCATTCTCTTTCTTTCTCTTTGTTCATTCCATTTCGTTTACCCTATTGAAACCAAATGGCCCCTAAAGATTAAGAAGTTTTTTTTTTAAGAAAAAAGTTAAATAAAAAAGGAAAATTAAAAAGATGATGTGGCACTCTACATGTCTTTCACCTTATAAAAAAGTTTAAAAAAGGAAAATTAAATACTACTCTGTAGAGATTTAAAAATCTCTCGCCTCTACTCTCCTCTTCTTTCCTCCTCTCTTCTAGGGTTTCTCCAAAACCTTGGCCGTTTAGGCCGGAAATAGTCTAATTTTTTCGGAGATTAGACTATTTCCGACCCTTTTCCCTTAATTTTATTTAATTTTGCTATTTAGGTTTCAATAAAATCTACACAAGTAGTGTAGATATTCGTTCGTCTCTCTATAGTGGAGTGTCTCCTTATGGTGGCCGGAGTCGTTAGTTTTTGTTAGTTTAGTTGTTTATTTATGTTCATTTAGGGTATGTTTGTGTGTTGCGGAGGAGGCCAACAGAGGGCGGCGAACGCTTGGGAAGGTGCGGCCGTCGGTTTTACGGGGAGGGGAAGGGGTTTCTAGGGTATTTTCGCGGGTGGTTCAATGTTTTTAGGGGAGGGGAGTGCTTTCCGAGGAGAGAGAATCGGCGGCAGGCGAGTGAGGCTGGGATGGTGGTTAGGTGGTGGGGTGGTTGGAAAAGGTTTCAAAATGAAGAAAATAGGTGGTTCTATGGTGGTGGTGTGGTGGTTTGACTGGTGGTTTGTTTCCTTGTGTTTTTTGTAAAACAAACAACATTGCATTTGGAATGGTTTTTCATTCCATTCTCTTTCTTTCTCTTTGTTCATTCCATTCCGTTTACCTTATTGAAACCAAATGGCCCCTAAAGATTAAAGAAGTTTTTTTTAATAAATAAATAAATAAATAAGGAAAATTAAAAAGATGACGTGACACTCTACATGTCTTTCACCTTATAAAAAAGTTTACAAAAGGAAAATTAAATACTACTCTATAGAGGTTTAAAATCTCTCGCCTCTACTCTCCTCTTCTTTCCTCCTCTCTTCTAGGGTTTCTCCAAAACCTTGGCCGTTTAGGCCGGAAATAGTCTAATTTTTTCGGAGATTAGAATATTTCCGACCCTTTTCCCTTAATTTTATTTAATTTTGCTATTTAGGTTTCAATAAAATCTACACAAGTAGTGTAGATATTCATTCGTCTCTCTATAGTGGAGTGTCTCCCTATGGTGGCCGGAGTCGTTAGTTTTTGTTAGTTTAGTTGTTTGTTTATGTTCATTTAGGGTATGTTTGTGTGTTAGGGTTTATAAAAAAGGTATTATCTTTTGCCCTATTGTCAGTTTTTTGGTAAAGATTTGTTCGGGATCGTATTGGTTGTCAAGTTTTTAATTGCGTTTAGGCGAATCAGATGAGAACCATCCTTACAGCTACAACAAATCGTTAGTCTGTCTCTCCGAAAAGGCTGTATATTCCAACGATGTGTGGGAGAGATGTACCGTGCATGATCTTTTCAACGATTGTAGCTTTGGGGAAGGAAACCCTAATTTGATTCAATTTTATGTATTTGTTAATTTAGATTTTATTTGTAGATATCGAATGACTTTTTATTAATAAATTGATTTGTTAAAAAAAAAAAAAAATACTACATGAGTTTAATTAAAAGGACAAAAAAGTAATTAGAATCTACTCGTAATAACAATTTAAAGATCCGAGTCATCCGACAATTGACATACATGTCTTTAATCTAGATAATTTTCCTCCAATGTTTTCAATTTTTTTCCTTTGGAAATTTTCACAACATACTCTGAGTTCTCCATTGAAGCGGTTTTTTAGGCTTTCTCCCCTCCATTGAAGCAGCTTCTGAGGTAAGAGTATTTTTTAAATAATCGTATATCAATTTCACAACCTAGGGTTTGGTTCCGTATTTTGTTAATTTGATTGTCCGTATAGTCAATTTAGGGTTCCTCACTTCTTCTAACGTTGATTATTGATTATTGAACTATTGGCTTTACTTGATTCATGAGCGATTATATAGCTAGAATTTTGCTATGTGCACTTTGTGTTAATATTGAAAAGAAATTTATGTGATTTTTCGAGCCTAATATTAATTTTGAGTCAAATTGCATTAGTCCTCAGTTATAAACCTTTAATGATAGAATATGGACATTTCTCCCTGGCCCAGGCGTCGGCCACCCCTCCTGCCTGGGCTCAGGGACGGGATGCATAAGAGTGGTAAAATTGTGCTTCTACCTAGGGTGAGCAAAAATTCAGGGTACCCGGAACCTGTAGATCATGTTCCGGTTCCGGTAATAAAATTGGGAACCTTTTGCAACAGGTGGGTAATAAAATTTTGGACCGAAAAAGCCCTATATAAAAATTGTATAAAAGCCGTCACCTACCTCTCTCCCTCTTATTCATTTTTCATCTCACTATTAAAGGTTTAATTTTGGTTTCAAAAATATTAAAGGTTTAATTAATGGTATTAATACAAGTATTTGTAATATTGTATTAAATATTATAAACATTTAGTGTTGGTTTGTTATATTTGCAGTATTGTACTAGTATTAAAGTTGTAAGATTTTATTGTGAACATCCATTTTTATTGTAATCTAATAATCCCACCTTTAGTCGGTCTTCCATAAACAATCCCATCTTTTAAAATTCCTGAAATAATCTCACTTTTGATCCTCATCTTCCACTAACGATCTCATTGACTTACAACTTATTAAGCAAGTTATTTTATTTATTTATTTATTTATTTATTTATTTTTAACTATACTCCTTCTCAAGCCACCAGTCCAACCACCACCCAACACTCACTCCTTACCGCCATCCCCACCACCAAGCCACCACGAAACTCACCAACCATGCCGGAAAATCCTTCTCATGGCAAGATGGGGAAGGGATACGGTGGCTGGCTGGGGGTTTTGGTTTTGTTTTTTTTTTTAAAATAAAAAAAAGGTTAAACCTATTAAAACCTGACACATGTCTTATAACCTATGAAAACCGGTTATCAAAACAATCCAATCGGTAAAGGATTGTTAATGGAAGATGGGGGTCTAAGGTGGGATTGTTTTTGGAATTTCAAAAGGTGGGATTGTTTATGGAAGACCGACTAAAGGTGGGATTATTAGTTTATATTTTTTTAAAAAAAAAAAATATTGTAACAATTTATCAAGTAACTATTAAGCTTGCTTTTCAGGAATATGAACCGGGAACCGGAATCTGAACCTGTTGGTTTCGGTTCCTAATTTTTAGGAACTTGTTGAAATAGGTTCTATAGGAACCGGTTGCAACAGGTTCTGGTTTCGGGTCCGGGTCCTAAGAATTTTACAGCTACGCTCACCCCTACTTCTTACATATATTTGAGTTATTGCTCTTGCATGATTGCTTATCATTAGTGCCATGTGTCAACAAGGTATGCAAACACCCCATTATTAAATATAGTACTCCCTTCGTGTTTTTTTAAGTGTTACAGTTTAACCGGCACTTAGTTTTAGGCAATTAATTGACTTATATAAAATAAGAGGTAAGTGGGGTATTTAGAGTATTAAAAAATTGTAAAATAAAGATAGTGGGGCTAATAGTTTATTGAAAAGTAATGAATGTGAGAGGGAAGATATAATAAAAAAGTAGTAGTGTGTTTGGGTGGGGACCATGAGAGGAGAGAGATATAATATGTTAATGTAGTTTTTTGCCAAAAAAAAGGAAGTGTAACACTTATTAAAATACGGTCGGATTTGGTAAGTGTAACACTTATTAAAACACGGAAGGAGTGATAGATTTGAAAACTGGATTAGAGCATCTCCAATGGTAAGCTACAAGGTCTTGTTGCTTACCTTGATACATCAAAATTTTGAGCCAGTATATTATCAAGCTACAAGGTGCTCCAATGGTGACCAATAAAATGTTGTAGCTTGAAAAAATAAGTAAATACATTAAATAGTTTTAATTATACACAAGTCATAATATAAGTGGATGAAGTGTTCTTTGAAAAATCAAGCAACGTAGTTTGTTTGAGCAACGTTACTTGATGTAGCTACATCAATATTGTCACTCCAATGGTAAGCTAAATGCTTACAATTTAATTTAATTTGCAAGCAGGTCCTTTTTGTAAACCATTGGAGATGGTCTCAGTGGACTGGACATGTGGTTGATAATTGATTATGTTTGTTTTTATTGTATCACTTTATGCATTTTGGATTTTAAATTGTAAAATTAAAGTATTAAACAACTTTAGTGTTTAAATTTTTTATTTAATAATAATTATCCAAATGTCGTGACGTTTGTATTTCATCCCTCCAGTTCAAAACCGTGGGTCCGCCATCGACTATGATTTGTGAAATTAAACAACAACATGAGAATTGCCCATCTTTGGTTGGTGATAATGATAATGATATAGATAACAATAAATTATTTGGGGGATCAAGAAGAAAAAGAGAAAATTGGTTGGTGAAATATGGGTTGCAATTGCCCGAACTGCCAAGTGATATTTCGGTTGAGATAATGGGGAAATTGCCGATTAAGCCTCTTTATGGTTGCAAATGTGTCTCCAAGGCATGGCATTCCATGTGTCTCACGTTTTGACTACCCAAAAAGGAATAGACCTTCCTCCTCATGGTCTTTTGTTCATGATTTTGCATTACACATCTATTGATGATGATGATTTTCATGACCGAAACCGTACGTTTTACTTGGCTTTTTTGTCCCTTGTTGGTGACTACAAGTTAACTAAATGGTCCCTTACTGATTTTGAAACTGAAAGTGCTATCGTGACTATCGGTGACCACGAGAATACCCACAATGATCATGGTAGTGGTAGTGGGTTGTTGTTGGGGAACTTAACTTTAGAATTCGGCACCTTGATAAGCGTGATCTCGAAATACGGAAACGGATGCTATTGGAATGTGCACAGGGGCTTATTCCTTGGCGTCCTTGATCCTCATACTTATGTAGTATACAACCCTGCACCAAAGAGTCCTTTTACCTCTCTAGGCCTGCTACTGAAGCTTCCTTCAAGAAAGGCTCTCTGCTAGTATTCATCATCAATCTTACGGATTGTCCTCTCTCAATGGAATGTAATTTTAGGGTTCTCCGGTTTTTTAGGGTTTGTTCTGAGACAAAAGGGATGGTATTTGTTGAGGTTTATTCTTCTAACAAGCGTGAATGGTGTGTGTCCAAGTTCCGCCTCAAAAAGGCGGTCATTTTAGAAAAATGGGACGTGTCTAGTGGCGTGTTTGTTAACAACACTTTATTTTTCTTGACGAACAAGAGGCATGCTGTGGGAGTGCAATTCCATTCAAGCGGGCAAGTAAGCAGGCTTTACTCTTTACGCCTGCCAAGGCGTATTACAAGGGGCTTTTGTGAATCGAACTTGTGTGGATCTCAGGGATGTCTCTATATTTCCCACAATAAGTCTCCTAATCTATGCATTTGGAAACACACAGGAAGTTCAACACGCTCTGATGCTTGGATCCCACAACTTATGTTCAAGAAATCGGGTATATCTTTATTCCCGCCAAATGTTGGCACTTTTATACGGCAATGTGTGGCTGATGATGTAGATACACTTCCAATAATCATGCATCCTGAGGCACCTGTTGTTTTCTTTTCTGTGCATCGGTCTATTTTTGCAATCCATCTATTGAATGATACAGTTGAGAAGATTGTTGAGCTGAATGAGGGAGAAGTGCCTTTGTTGGGAACTCACTTCATGTATGCACCATGCTTTGCCTCGTTCAATTGTCTTAAGCCAGCAAATCAAGATCATTGCAAGTAATGTAGGAGATTCTATTTGCTTTAAACTTAATTGCCATTCACCCTTCCTTAAATTCGTTGCTGCTGAATAAATATATTTAAGCTTTCTGTTTTGCAATTACGTTGTGTAATTACAAATCAAAATTGTCAATGTAGTGATATACTTTGATTTATAAAGTTTGATCTTATTGGTTCGGTTTTCCTTTCAATCTTTATTCTAGGTTGCTTGTTGTTTGAGTGAAAGTATGTTATGATTTGGATTAGATCATAGAAACCACCCTTTTCAGTAGTCTGCGAAGTATTTAGTAAATAATTTTATGAACATAGAGTGATTCAAACAAACTTTGTGCAGTAGCCTAATCCCGCAGTCTGATAGGAACAAGTTTGAGGCTGATATAGAGCAGACTCAAGTTCTCCAGGCTGCATTCTGTCATGAAATATCATTTTGATTTATATCTGGAGATAAGCATTATATACTGCAAGACTGGTTATTTTTTGCTTGATTAGATAGGTGTATGTATGACAGATGAGACTGTTCATAAAATTTACAGCAAAATGTAGACGACTGCAAAATCAACTCAGAATTGAAATTGCAAAACCTGATAAATGGAGACAAAGCTTACTCAAAGTCTTCCATATATACAGGTGCAGGCTCATTACTGGGATGTTTTCGAACCCTGGTTCTGATGCTGCTAAGAAGTGAAGGCTGAGTCTTTTCTGTGGTTGCATGAGAGATATTGGCTCCTATGCCATGGTAAGTGGGTTTTAACTTTTAAAGAAGCAAGTCCCTTCATACTATGTAAGTATCTTATTTTCTACCTGATTGTATAATGTGTGGCTCTGTGTATGCTGCCTTCTATATTACCTTTTTAGTCGTTCTGAGATCAATGTGTTTGCGCAATTAGTAGACAATACACAATTGTGTATGATGCACTTCATAGCTCATACACAAAGCTAAAAAAATATAAGTCTTTTTACTATAAAATATGGCCTAGAATGATTTTTTTCTTAATTATAGAAAGAACATTGTGGGACAACACTTTTTAAGAATGAACCTTGCATAATTAATGATCATTTTGTTTTGCGCTTATAATTTTGAATAGAAAGTTTATTTATGATCTTTTAGGCCGTTGTTCATTTATATTTTGTTGTTGTTCATTGTTGACTTGTTGTGTACCATGAATATCTTACACACTTATGTAGGATCCTTTCTGCCTTGTTTGAAGTTAGAAGTGATACAAACAAGGAAGAGTGGACTGCTGGTTTGCTGGAAGGTGGAGGCATGCAAACCTGTTGGTCGAAATGAACTTTTTCATGCATCATATCTCAAGGTTTGAAGTCTGGCTTTCTATTCGGTTGATGATTCATAGAATTTCCTAATTTATATTTACCAAAAAAAAAAAGAATTTCCTAATTTACACCACTAAGACTTCCAAGGCTGAGTTGCTTGCTAGAAATTATATAATTTACTATCAGGCTAATCTATAAGTATTCAGTAACTCTTAGAATACATAGCTTGATCAGTAGATCTTAAGGACAGTGCTTGATCATTTGAACATGTGGTGCATCAATGGCATAGTTGATGGTCTCAAGACTTAGAGTGGATAATTTAGAGATGCTATCTGTAATTAAGTTGGTTTTGGGTGCAGATTCTCTGGATACTGACCATATGTCAGTCGGGTATGAAACTGATATTAGTTATACAATCGATAAGTATTACAAGTACTGTAAGCCTGCACCAGGGTTGCATATACCCACCCTATCAAGATTGCTGTGGGTTGCATATACAAATCTGTTTTCGTTTAGCTGTTGATTTTCTTCAAAAATGTAAAAAGATGAATGAGAATTGCTCAGATGCTTGCTACTATATTTCTGGTTTTTTTCAAGTTTTTTGTGGGAAAGTATCAACTATCAAGGTATTAGGGCATTTTGTGGGAAAGTACCTTGCTAATATTTCTTTGTGGGGAAGTACCAGAATATTTTTATGTTTTGTTATATGGTTCCAGATTAGTGAATTCCGACGAAAAAGTTCACAATCATGCTTAAAGGGAACTTAAATAGAAAGCAAATCAATCATTTGTCATAACACCCATTAAAAAAAGCTAAGTTTCAGTATTGTCAGAGCTTAAAAGGCAGCTATGACGGGCTCAAATAATTTTCAGAAAATAATAAATAAATATCTCACACTTTTGCAATATAATTCTGAATTTTGACATTATAACCCCTTAGTTTTCAATTCTTGAGATTCTATAACAGTTAAAAATGTTTTATGATTAAAATCTAAGAGCTTTAGAATCCATAGCAATAAAATTACTAAAGTAAAGATGAGATTTCCATTCAAGCCTCAAAGAGAAAACATAGGCCTAATGAAAAAGTCTTAAGCAGGGGATACTTGGGCTAAGGATAATTATAATAATCATCACTTCTGCCACAAATTATGTCACGGAATTCTAATTTCGTGAAACTGCCATGGAAAAGAGTTTCCACCACAACCAAACAGACCACAAAACTTTATGCAACGAGTAAAATAATTTGGGGGCAAATTATGCTGTCATGAATTATGCCTCGGGTAAACATCATTTTGACAAACAAACTACTATGGGAAGTATTCCAATTTGTAGTAGTTTATAATTATTGTATGCATCTAAAAGGGAATCTACAACCTTTGAAAGTGAGAAGTTGCAAAGGATTAGCAAAATGAACACTGATCCCCCGAAGGAATAGTGACTTGACTTTTATGCCCTAGCCTTTTTTTTTCTTCTTCGAAATTGCCCTTCTGACTCTCTCTTTTCCCCCCTTTTTTGCTCGCCATTACCTTTCTCTTTCCTTTGAAACGAACCTTCTCACTCCATCTTCTCTTTATCTCATTTTCCTCCATTATTGAAGCAAGCTTGAGAGGTAATTTGTTTTTCAATCACCATTTTGAATATGTGTGTTAATTATGTTAATAATGTGAGATTAATTAGGTTTAGAATTGGGTTATTTTTGTCTTGCATGCGTACACTCCACTCTTTGTCTTCGGTTTTGTGTGCTTTGGTTTTCTTTGATGGTTGAGGAATATGAAGAAATTGAAGATGAAGTAGAGGAAGAAGTAACGGATGATGAAGATGATGCAATAATGGCGGAAAAAGGTTCGAATTTGGGTAAAGAGGATGCGAATCTGGCGGAACAAGAACAATTCAACCTCGGACGAGTTGACTGATGGATGACTTGGTCAATGACTTCTCAGGACTGGATTCATGGCCTTCACTCTTAATGTCTAAGCTCCATCTTTCACCTTTCTTTGTAATATTTTATTTGTTTTTTTGATTTGAAATTATGGTTTTTGATTTGGAATTACGGGTTGTTGTAGGGTGAGGCGTGTATGAATGCCCAAGCAATCAAGAAATTTGTGGAGGAGAATCGGAAATCGGTGGCTAAATGTGTGAATTTAGCCATTCAATGTTCGATTATTCATGTCCTTTCAAATGTGAGATGCATTGATTTGGAATTACGGGTTTTTGTAGTGTGAGACGTGTATTAGTGTTCGTATTTAGCGAATCATTGTTCGATTACTACATACATCAATGTGAGATGCTATCGGTAAGTATGTCTCCTCAATTTCAAAATTGGGTTTTCTCTGGGTTCCAAAATAATAATATTTTAATTTGGTTTGTGTGCGATGAATTGGGTTATTTTTGTCTTGCATGTGTTTTTTGATTTAAAATTGAGTTTAAGAATGATTTAAGTATTGAACTTTTGGTGATTGCTGATTTGTAGTGGTTATATTTGGTTTTAGTGGTGATGGTTGCAAATAGCAGGTCTTGGTTGTATATTACTATATTGTATGCTATCTGAAGTGAATTATCTTTTAGGTATTTTACGGATTAGTTTTTTCCATTTTAGGCCATACCCACACACAACATTTCGGTTCACAAATTAAGAGCTTTATGGGGTTTTTTCTGGGGTTTAAGGCTCTACCTGAATTATGAAGATTAAGAGAAATGTGGGTATATTCAGAATTTCTAAAATTATGAGACATAAGGGTTTCTTCGCTTTTTCTTTAATATGCACATAAATTAGTACTGTAATTAGTTAAAAAAAAAAGTACGTAGTAGTTGATTGAATTATTAAGAAATACAAAGTACGTAGTAGTTGATTGATGAATTGATGATTTCAGTATTGTAGTTTCTGACCAGGAAATTGGGGTTATTTGTTGCTTTGTTGTGTTTGATCAGGAGTGAGAATAAGGCTTTGGCTGTACAAGGTGTGTCTGAAAAGGTTGTGGGTGTTTTGGGAGGTGGGTAGCTTGGTTGCATGTTATGCCAAACTGCATCAGAAATGGCTATCAAAGTAGCTATTTTGGACCTTTCTGAGAACTGCCCTGCTTCTCCTTTTTCACATTATTATATGGTTGGGAGCTTTGATGACAGTACCACAGTTGAGGAATTTGCAAAGAGGTTGGAATTTCAGTAAATAGAGTCCTTCCCTCACCTTCCATCTCTTTCTTCTCAAGTTCATTTATTTATTTGGTGATATTGACCAAGTATCCTTTTGGTGGCTAGATGTGGAGTTTTGACAGTGGAGATTGAGCATGTTGATGTTGCCACACTTGATAAGCTTGAACAACAAGGAGTTGAGTGCCAACCCAAAGCCTCTACCATTAGGATAATCCAGGTTTAGAGTTTATGCTCACAGTATCTTTATTATAAATTTATATTGTACAAATATTTGATGATCTTAGTTTTTTTATTCATGAAATTGGCAATTACTTTTGTTATACAAGATATTTACTTTTTTTCCCCCCTTTTAATATAATGCTCACATCTACTGTATGTGATTTGCGGCTTTTTGATATGTTTGTGGGGGACATGTGAAAGTACACTCAAGGGAAGACTTCAACTACCAAATAACGAACTTTGTGTTTGTCTATCTATATTACTTTTTATGCAGGATAAATACCTTTAGAAGCTACATTCTTCTTGACATGGGATCCCTTTGCCTGAGTTTATGGAGGTGGGTAGTACCCTACTACCCTATGAGGTATTAGTCAATCACAAATTTTAGGAAGCATTTGTTGCTGCTTGTAATTCCTTCTTTAGGGATCCTACAGTTGAATTATGTCCAATGCAGATAGATAATGATGAAAGTGCAAGGAGTGCTGGAATGCTATTTGGTTATCCTCTTATGATCAAGAGTAAAAGGCTTGCCTATGATGGGCGCGGTAATGCTGTTGCTAAGTGTGAAGAAGATCTCACTTCTGCAGTCAGTGGTATGATCTTTTCTATCGAACTCTATAAATTGACTATGAAGTGTTTTCATTGAAACTTTTTGGCAGTAATTGATAAGAATTCATAACCTGCTGTTATCTTGTTTATTAGCTCTGCTATATTTGGTTGCTCTGTTGTATTTGTATTTGGCTGCCCTACTGCAGTATCAGGTCCTTTAGTGTTCAGAGTTCTGGTCTGACTTTTCGGGTTAATACTCTAAGGTAGCAACTGCAGCTCATTGCTTCAAGTGTAGCGATGACTATCATGACTTCAAATGCAGCAGGTTGCTTTTCTGTATCTTGTCGTTCAGGCAAAACAAAATGTGTGCTTCAGAAAAGTTTACAGATATATAGTAATAATATTGAGCTTGGTAGCTTATTGACTTCTTATTTTACACATTTTCAGATTCATTCTTTATGTCAAGAATTTTCTTAGTAGGCCTGGAATTCTATATTCTTTGTCAATTATCTTCTGATCGTCCCGTCAAAAAAAAATAAAAATCTTCTGATCGTGTGCTTGATATAGCTTGGTTTGAATCTTGTCAAACTATGTGAGTCAGTATGTTATAGCTTATGCCTTTTCTCTATTTCTCTGCAGCATGATACTGTCACTGGAGATATCATCTTTGTCCTGCATCAGAAAAAGCTACCTAAGTTTAAGCGAAAGGGCGTAAATGCTTTATTGTCTGAAATTTTGCAGATGCCTGCTCTTGGTCAGTACAATGGTTCTATGTATCAATCCTTCCAGATCAAGTCGAAGTTTTGACGACTTTGAAATTCCCACAAGCAAGCGAAAATGACTAATAGGGCTTGTGATATGCAAGAGAACAATCTATTGAAAAGTGTTGATGTGGAAAAGGATAGAAGTAATTCTGTTGCAAAAATCAAAGTTGTGGTATGCCTTTTTCATCCAACCCAAGTATTAAGATCTCGAATTCTGTTCACTATTTGCTCTGCTTGTTTAAAATATTTGTGTTGTTAGTTGTTACACATTCTCAGGCTAAGTTATCAATGAAATTAGTAGATCTATCCTCTTCTGGTGATCTATTACCAGTTCAACTTCCTCAATAGCTTGGGAGTTATGTTTTTTAACAAATTGGAAACTGTGAAGTACAATATGTCGTGTATGTTGGAAAAAAATCTGTTTCTTAATGTATTGGTTGAAAATCCCAGAAAGGCACATTTAAATACGCAAAATTAAGAATGAGTGACAGTGTGAGAGAGGGAGGGGGGAGGAGGGGAAGGGATAAGTAGAGGCTGGGTGGTAATAAAAAAATAGCAATATCGTAAAAGGAGAATGAAAAGCCAGAGAAGTAGAGAGTTTAGAGAAGAGAGAGAGAGAGATAGAGAGGAATAAAAAAAAGAGAAGTTTAATTGATTGTTTTTAAAGTATAAGATGACTACAGGCAAGTAGGAAGATACTTTCTTAAATTTTTCATAAGCTTAAATTTTCTTTTTGAATAGAGCGTAGAAAAGGGAGTGAGAAAGGGAGAAGGAAGTAGGAGTGCAAAATACTTTTAAGAGACATAAGTGAACATTTTAAAACTTAGAAAGTATAATACAACTATTAGCAGTAGAAATATACTTCCTTAAATTTGCATTGCCATTAAAAATAATTTTGAGGAGAGAGAGGAACAATAGTGAGAAAGAGAAGGAAGGTGGGAGAAGCAGAGCACAACACTTTCAGGAGACGAATTTAATAGTAGTAGTAGCAGTAACAGCAGCACTGGCACCAGCAGTAGTAGTAGCAGTGGTAGTAGTAACAGATGTCGTGTATGATTGAAGAACTAGGTTGCCGGAAAATCGGAAAATTGCTCCTCCCCGCCGGTCCGGCACGGATTGAAATAGGAGCCAATTTTATGAATCCCACAAAATCATAAAAGAATAAAATAGTGATAAATGGACAAAGAGGAAAAGGAAGGGGGAAGGGAATTAGGAAGAGACTTTCTAAAACACAAGTGAAAGTAGGTTAATAAATACATTCTAATTGATGTATAACTTACACTGACATTTCAGTACTCTTAATCTTATAATGACAACAAGTTGCAAATTGGTTTAGTTTTGAATTCGAAGTCTTCATCAGAAAATACACCTAAACTAGCGAGGGAGCAGCCTTGGGGATCTAAAGACAAGAGATAGAAATATGTTGGGAAGTTCAGCGTCAATATTCCAAGATGATCATGATTTGAACCAGGGCAAATGTTAATTAAGATATGGTATTCATAGAAAAATTTTATAGTCTTCAATTTGATAGTAATAATGGAGCTCTTTCCTCTCCTAACCCAAATAGTGTAAAGGATGAGTATCCATATCTCATGGGAATATGATATAGAATTGTGTAACTAAATTTGAATACATTAAAGTGTAAGTGAATATATATTCTCAGGTTCTCTTATATCACGTTAAGTGAAAATATATTCTCAGTTTCTCAATTTCCTTATTATATTGGTTGTTATAGGATCCACAAGGAGTAAGAAATGGAGAAGGAGCTGAGGGTGATCGATGCAACTAATGACGAAATGAATAATGAATAATCACCTGAATAATTACAAATGCCTACTTTCTAATTGTTCATATCGGCCAGTCAAATGCCTACTGCAAAAAAACTGAATTGATTTAGAGGGAATTGTTGAAATTTCATATGTTCCATCTAATTTTTTTTTGGGTATTTGTTTTCGGCTTTTTTGTTTATATAAATTATATGTTTTTTACATTTTTTTTTTGTTGTTAAAAACAATGTGGAAATGTAATCGATACTAATGAAAGATATACTTTTTTTTTTTTTTTTTTTTTTTTTTTTTTGGTGAAATTAGCTTATTGGTTAATCATCTATTAATTTAGAACTTGTTTTGTATTGTTTTTTGTTTTCAGTTTTCTGTTTTTATGAAAACCAAAAACAGAAACGAGAAAAAGATGTTTCCACTTTTCTGTTGTCAGTTTTTAAAATTATCATGATTTTCTTAAGTGTGTTTTATTTTTGTTTTATTATATGACACATATCATATGAGTTTGAAAAACAAAAAACCATAAAACTAAAAGCCATAACGATGTCAAACGAACCCTTAACAAACCTATGATCAAATTTTTAGGCTACATGGTGAGCCCCAAGTGACCGGAACCTAAATCTTGGTGGATGGTAAAATATCAAATATCAACCCTTGTGATTATAATGTGGCCAAATTGTTGAAGATTTTCCTCTTTAGTTTCTTTCAAGTTCATGATTAATACTTTGATGTTTTACCATAAAAAAAGTGTTTTGTGTGAAAAAAATTTGTGATTGGTCAAAGGTTGAGTAATTTATTAGTTTTTGCATAGTTGTATTATTTGAAAGAAAAATGCCAGGCACTTTAGAATTAACATCATTACAACATCTTATCAAAAGGATAGGTTAAGTTTATCCCAAATCGAGACTCTTAATTCAAACTCTGCCACGTCAGCTTTTCACTAAGGTTAAATTATTTTTTTTTTATTGTAAGATTCATACCAGACTTTCTCCACTTTTAACACATTATCCCAAGACTCACTCTACATTCACTATTTATACATCATTTTTTTTAAAATAAAAATCAACTTTTTTGAGCTGGTGAGTTGGCAGCTTTTTATTGGTCACCAACAAAAAAAATCAGATTGCTTTTTTTAAATTTGTAGAGTCTTAAGATGAGTTTTAAAATCCAAAACTCATCTCAATACTCTCTATAGTCTTGCACCACTTTATTGCAAAAATTATATAGTCTTGTATGTGAGTCTTGAGTTAAGACTCCACTCAAGACTCACCGGAGCATCTGCGAAAAGTTCAAAACGACTACGCGTAAGTTTATCCCAAGACTGAGACTTATACTCCAGACTCTGCCACATCATATTTTCACTAACTTTTAATTATTTTTTTATTATTCAGACTCATACAAGACTTTCTCCAATTTCACACATTTTTCACTTCAGATTTACTTATCCAATTAATATTTATAACATTAATTTATTTATATATTTATTTCATTTATTAATTATTTTAATATGGTGAGTTGGCAACTCACTATTGGACAACATAATTATTATTGTCCATTTGTATAGTCTCAAGATGGGTTTTAGAATCCAAAACTCATCTCAAGACTATATGTAGTCTTGGTAGAGATTATTGCTAGAATCTTGCTCAAGACTTGTCTAAAGACTCATCTTAAGACTAGGGATAAACTTACCCTTGCATATAAGGTGAAGTTAGAGTAAATTATGTTAGCAATCTAAGGACAAGTAGTCATCTAATTAGTAACACATTTAACATAAAAATTCAACATTATGGTAGAATTGTGTTAGATTCTTGAGTAAGTACTGATTTTTTTATTTTTATGTTTATTCAACTATAAGAGGAGAAAGAAAGAACAAAGATGATCAATCAAACAATATCGATATCAAAAAGTTAAGATTGGACCTTAAATTAAAGTCTTTACAAAACTTGGATGAAAGAAATATGATATAGAAAGTGAAAGATGATTTTAGTCATAATGCATGTATACATGATACATAAATCTAATAATGTGGTTAAAACTCACTCAATATTATTTTGATCATTTTTCGTCTTTTATGGCTTTGCATAGTTTATAAAAATATTACTGTTTTGGGTGTTTTTGTCCCTTGGGAGAGTTACAACACGAAGCCTGATCCGCAGTGAGCTGTACATGCAAAACAAACGGAGACACCGGTTGGGTGGCGCTCTGCCTCCGACGCACAAGTCAGTAACTTGAAACGGAATAGAGAGAACGGAAATTTAGGTAGGTATCTGCTCGGATTCCAAGCTCAGGTCTTTCTCAGATGTAAGAGAATAAGGGTGTAATTAGTGATTCAATCTGTCCCTCAAGGTGGGGAAATATCTCCTTATTTATAGGGTCGTTGGAAAATGCGCCCCTATCTAGGTCACTTGACCTAGATTTCAGTGGGCTGCGCCGTTTTACGGCGCTCCTAAGAGTTTGGGCCTTTTGAAAGCTGCCAATTCAGAAACATATCTGAGGGCGCCAAGTGTCAAGAGGATGTTGAGCCACATGGGCCATCCTGACCTTGACACGTGGCGACCTCTCATTGGTCCACGTTTCTAGGGTAAAAATACCCTAAACATTTCCCCTCACAGGTCGCACGTGCATGTCATGTGGGGCCTGTGACACGTGTCCACCTTTCATAGGTGAACAGTAACGGGTAAAATTTTGAATTTCAAATCAAAATTTCCCCCCACTTTTACTTTCTATAAATAGAAAGTTACCCCCCTCCTTTTCACTCTTAACGTTCATATTGACTTTTTAGAGAGAGAAAAAGAGAGATTTCTAGAGAGAGAATTTTCTCTGCTCCCGCCTGCATAACAACAAGTTTCAAGCTTCCGAGTGCTAGAATTTCATCACCCGGCTCACCGGCTGTAGCGGTTTTCAGATTTTCCAGAGTTAAAGCAAGGTAACCGCCTGTACCATTTTAGCTTTTCTCCCTTTCAATTTGCATACCGTTTTTCGCCTGTATACCCGGCTTTCTTAATAGAACATAAATGAGTTCCCAATCCACCCACTCGGCACTGCCTAAGACACTCAGCCGATCCCTAGGAACGGCTGAGTCTAGAACAGGGGGTGCCTCTTCTGGACTGTCGGAACCAATATGCTCATCTCCGAATTCCTCCCTCTCTGTGTCTGTGCAGGACACAATGGCCAGAACGAAACAAATGACCAGGCGGTCTAAGAGCCGGCGCACCATGAGAGTGCCTACCGATGAGGTTTTCCCGGAAGGGGATCCGAGGAATTTGGAGGAGAGCGGATCTGACGAGGAGGCTCCCTCTACCTCTGGGAGCTCGGGAGTAAGAGAGGTGGACGGCGAAGGAGCCGCCTCCTCAAATGAAGCCGGCGACGCTGAAGCCGGCCAGGGATCAAGAGCGGAATCCTCAGGCTCTGACCAAGGAGATTTTGCGGCTGACTATCAGCAGTCGCCCAAAGTTGCTGACCATCCCAACCCCAAAAGAACTCGGATGCTGCCGAGTAACATTGCCCTTCTTAATAGCGGGTTCAGGGCTTTTAAAGAGAAACATCCATTTGGAAAGGGTTGGGAAGTTATTGTCCCTCCGGCTGATGCTGTGATGGCCTGGGGGGATGACATTGACCATGCAGATGACTACTTCATCTGCTATGAGGCGGTAATAGAAGTCGGCCTCCGGTTCCCCCTCCACCCCGGGATTAGGAAAATCCTTAAGGGGTATGATCTGGGGGTTTGGCAGCTCACCCCGGTGAACATATTAAGTTACATTGCCGCCTGCGAGTTCCAAAACTTGAACCCCAGCTTCTCTGCCTTCGCTCATATGCACTACTTGAGCAAGGCTCCAGGCGGCCATGGGGCATGGTATACGCTGACTACCGTGCCCCAATATCTAATGACTTTGGACAAAGTGTCCAAGTGGTCCGGGTGGAAGGACAAGTTCTATTTGATTTCCTCTCCAATCCTAAGACACAACCGGACACTACGCCGGTACAACACTGAGCCGGCTCTTCTTGGACGTAAATGACCTCTCCCGGAACTATCTACTAAAGCCCGGGAGCAAATCATGGAGCCGGGATTTTTTGAGACAACAACTGAGCCCATGGGGGATGGGACTCACATCATAGTTCCCAAGAACTGGATCCCCCATCCGGACTTCTTCAAAGATGAATGCTTCTTGTCCGCCTGCGGACTGAGTACGATGTTTTCCAGGGGTAGAATACTTCTCATCCGGAATGATTGTCATTTTATTTTTATTGCAAACTTGCCTTAATTCTTTCTAACTTGACATTCTTGTTTTTGCAGAAGAAGCCCTGAGGATGGTTGACCAGGATAAGACTCCTGCTAAATCTGCGGCGCTACTGCGCAAGGAGGCGACCCTTGTCAAAAAGGCAGCCGTCGAGGCTACGAAGAAAGGCGGGGTAAGACAGCCTGACTTTATGTTTGCATTTTTTTTATTTATATACTGGTTGGGTATACTTATATTTTGCTTCTTTCTCAGGAGTCCGCCAAGAGAATACCTCGATCATTCTCCAAGCTTCTCAAAAGGCAGGGAGATGATCTGGAGAAGGCTCCGGCTGCCAAAGCCGCAAGGAAGGATCCCCCCCAGAAGAAAAGTTCTGCCCAATCTGGTTGTCCAACGACTGGGGGCAAATCCGATCCTCTGCTGTTCTGAAGAAACTGAGTGAAAGCTCAGAACAGCAGAAAGCGCCGGAGGCCTCTACGGCTTTGAAGGGTGGCGAGCCACCTAAGGTTGCAGACGGTGCGGCAACCGCTGGGGGGGAGGACAAGACGGAGACCCATCCGGAAGTTCACGGTAAGAAACAAACTGAAATACCTTGGCCACTTAATTTTATGAGAATTAAGGCTAAGGTTGATTCTTCAAAAAGGGTCAGCCAGCAGCCGGCAACGGATGAATTCCAGCTACGCTGCTTCTATCTCACAAAGAACTACTTTTGATGCAAATCTGCTTCCTAACCCGCCGGATCTCGCCAGCTTCGCGAAGCGGATGGTGAGGACCCTCACCCGGTCTGAGAAGGCCTCCATACCTGATCTGCAGGTCGTGGATTTTGACCGGATAATGGGTTCTCTGGCTGAGGTACATGATTCCTCTACCTTGATGTCTTTAATCTTTATTCTGACTAACTCATAAACCGGCTGTTATTGATTCAGGCCATGGTGAGAGTGGACAGTCTCCGGGGCCCCTTCAGGCGGAAACAGGAAGAGGTAAATGACGCCAAACGGAGGGCCCTAGAAAACCTCAACTTTGCTGAACATTCTGATTATATGTGTAATTTA